TTCATGTATGTACATCTGAAATATGTAGTTCACTAGTGGTCAGACACCAAGAAAGGTAACGGCTGTAGACATTTCAACGCGTCCAAATTAAACATAAGGTACTTGCAAATGTGATTTTTATTGAAACATTTTACCAGAGCTTTAGAAGGTCTACCTTATTCGCTTGCATTTTATGTTTTGTTATATTGACGGGACGAACGTGGGCCTGGTGGTAAACGACACGGCTATCCATAACAGTTGCAGTGCGACTTAGAACTTTTAATCGCAAAGTTCTTAGGAGCACTGCCAATGCGCCCGTCACCCTGAGACATAAGTTGATAAGTCCTATGTGCCTGTAATTTCACCAGCACCTTTACCCTTCTAATTCGGAACTCAATAATGGTCACATTACTGCTTGCCGGCAGAAATGAGTAAGGTGGCAATATTTCCCTGGACGAACTCTTTCACAAGAAGCTCTACTGCTACAAAGACATGCATTTCATATTATGTAGTGTATAAGACAAGTATTGTAATTCCATATAAACTTAGCAGCGCGGCTTTTATCATCACGCTCGCTGCGCGCCGTGTGCGGACGCACACATTCGCATAATAATGAAAGGCGCGTGAGACGACTAGCGCTATACAACGCAAGTGCACCACGAGATTATGAGAATATGTGCGTCTGTACAAGCCACGCAGCGGTCACACACATACAAGCCGCAACATTACACGGAGTTACCCTTGTCTTATTATTCTATGATATTATATTAATTCGATCGAGGAGAAGTTGTAAATAGCAAATAACTGTAACCAAGTGAATGTAATCATTTGTTTTTCGCGACTAAAATTGCATCTTAAAATGTTTCCCGTTACCACACAAACTATTTATGTTATGGACATTAACAAATTTTTCCATTTTCTTCAAAATATTCGCAATTGTGTCAATTTACAGTACTTACAACCGTGTAGTATCCCAGTGAGCCAATGGTCTACTAAACTGCATGCAAAGCACAAACTCCACAGTTCAAAGCCACTGCGGGCGGCATTTCTATCTCCCGCCTTAGTTAAAAAGAACTCAACCGAAAGAAAGTTTTCAATTACATCTTCCCAAACTTTGTTCTCGATAATGAAGCTGAAAAACTTTTCAGATATATCTGAGCGAATTACCGGGTTAAATCGTGCGTAGCTGCGTGGTCGTCCTTTCCGATTAGAATGAAGACGTGTACGGTCCGCTGCGGTTATTTTCGTACGTTTCCTTTTACCGTCCGGTAATATAAAGACATAAGTTTACCTTTATTTTGAAATATATATTTTGGCAAAATTGTTTTTCGTGGAATCGGACAGTCTCGTGAGTGATCCGTATTTTAATTTTTAATTCTTCAGTCACTCTCGGACTACAGTTCACTACCTTATTTCCGTGGCAATTATTATTATTTAAATATTCCAGCATATTATCATGTAATTATTAAATAACATTTCACGATTTAACCGCTCATGCGATACATGCAGCCGTAGACGCATACCACACCTAGAGGTGCGCGTGATGATTTTATACCGATTTATCAGATATCGAAGTTATAACAGGTAAAAGAACTAATATTAATTGCTATTTCGGTAACTACTCCAGCAAACCATAAAGTTTTTAATGCCTGGGTCTGTCATTAAAAAAAAAAGCAACTTCAAAAATACGTCACGACGAACGTGTGTGTCATTGTTTAGGCTGGTGATTTCGGTGTTTATTTATTGAAAACATACCGTAAGTAGCGTTTTTTAAGTTTACCCTGAATATAAATGTTTATAAACTATACTTTAAGGAGTAATTTCATGGCGAACGTTAGAACCACTCAAACGGAATATTATCATATTTATCCAAGTACACCAAAAATTTCATTAGTGCTTTTTAAGTGCAGGATTTGCGGTATATTACTGCATTATATTTGAGATGTTTTTGTTGGTAGTACGGAGGGTATTTATTTAGCAATGCAGAATGATAATTTTTATTTATAAAAACTTGTATTTAAACTGAATGCTTTTCTAATTTGCGAAACCAAATAGCCGCCATTTTGCGGTAGGAGGGGCGCATCGCGTGAGCGGATAATACTCGAATATTAGATAATATATTGCACGATGAAAAAGCGAACACACACACACACGAAATTAGATAAGGAATACTAATCGGAGAATGACCGTATTAAGTACGGAACTAAAGACATAAGACATAGGCCCGTTTTAATAAATTCATCTCAGTTACTGAACAAGGACGTAAATCTCAATCTAATTATTCCCGTTATGGCACTTATTACAATAGCCAGAACGTGTTCTGGCGTACTGAAAAAGACCACAATACATGCGCGAGGATTTTATGATTTTTTTATTATACTACATAAGTGATGGGACGAACTAGTCGTGCGCGTGGCGTTAAGCGCTATCGCTTACAGGCCTGTGCCTGTAATCGACTGATCGAGTTGTATATTGTATAATTTTATTTATTACATAATTACGTCACCACACTATTAACGCACACACTAGGTATATTTATACTTTTACGATCTATATAATATAACACACAGCAGTAACACAATGTACAAAGAACACATACATATATATATATATAAAAGTAGTTTATTTTAAGTTCTTTCGCGACACACACGTGTGTCACTCATCTCGGCTCAGGGGTCATTGAAAACTAGTGCCACTGTCAATTATGGCTGTGGCTGCTGAATAAAGCCATTTTGCGTATGCCACAACCGCACATATGACAGTACAAAATTTGTAATCGTTATGTTTTGTTTTTTTTTTGTTTTTGTTTGTTTGTGTTATCATTTTTTGTTTTTTTTCTGTATCTATGTGTTGTTGCGTTTCAATAAATGTCTATTCTATTCCATTTTATTATATTCTATTCTAATTGGTAAATGTAGTGATGGAATAGCGCGTTTCACGAACGCGCGTTCGCATCGCTGCTAAAACTCGCCTTTTGTAACCACTCTACTTACGTACTTCAAAGCCTTGTATCAAAATACTACGAGGTCGATGTACTTAATTCCTACCCCAAGTTTATAAGACAAAGAATACAAAACTAAAAGTAAGTAGGAAATTTAAGTTCATTTACCGGTCTACCGGGACCAAATGAACTGAGCCCTGAGAGATACGGGCACGACTAATTTTCAATTAAAACTTCATCTAAGTTCATCTACTAACCATCGCTTAAGATTGCGGTTTAAGTATTAAGAGATAGTTAATTGTTAAAAGGGAATATAGTTTCTTAAAGCGCACAGTTTTTTAAGCGAAATTACACCTTACGAGGTTCTAATTTCTCATGGTACTTAAACCAGCAAACAATCAGAAGGTCCATCCGATATTTGTCTCAATTAGACTGCATTCGTTCTCCGTATTCCTTAATCCGAAATCCGTATTCAGTAGCATTAGAGTTCCTTGTAAAAGAGTTCATAGAGGGAAGTACTGCCACCTTACCCAGTGACCCCTCAGATCTTTGCGATTTAAAGCTCTGAGTGGCACTACAACTGTTATGGACAGGCGTGTAGCTTACCATCAGGCGCACGACTTGTTCGTCTCGTCACTTGGTAATATGAAAAAAAATGTAATACCGTTTTATTGAAATCTTTATTGTAAAAATAAATTAAAATATACATATAATACCTTATCTAATTAACGAAATTCCTAAAGAAAGGGAAACCGGCGAAATATCGCACCCATAAAACATCAAGGTCGAAGCTAGTCTGAAGGTAGTCTAGATTACAGCTCCCGGAATTTGACTCCAAGCACCAAAACTGATGGTGAAATGAATTTTGATCGAAATACTCTTGACCCTTACGACTAGTGAATCAAAGACGCATTCTCTTCCACCATTGTACCACTACACAATGTTAAGATCTTTGCTAAACTAACTTTAATAGTACCTTGTGGGAATAGCGTTGCGGTTAATACTTACGTTTAAGGCTGTGTTACTTATGTTTACTGTTACTGAGGATTTATATCCC